CTACTTATACAATTATAAGGGCTAGATTACCAATATTGATAGCAGCGTCTATATTCAGGCCAATGTCTCCAGTAGAAATACAAACACACACATATGCAGAAACACACACACACACACACACACACACACACACACACACACACACACACACGTTATCACAAGCAACACGCACATAGTACATACATACACATACAGACAGACAAATAATGCACACACGCATACGTATAAGCAACACACGTACACACATACATTATGACACAGAATGCATCTTAGCTGTACGTACGAATGTGCACATGAGTGAGTGAGTGTGTGTGTGTGCATGTGTGGATACTGAGAAGATGATGAATAATTAACATAATGACCAGCGTACAATTTTTCATTTAAATCTTCGTGTCCATCCAACGCAACCTAAGTAACAACAGTACGAGAGTCTTCAACGTAGCCTCTTTCAACAGTGTGTGTCTACAAGCGCGTGTGTCTTCTGCAGACGCAAACACACACACACATATGCGCACACACAAGCACGCATATAATATGCACACTCAAAAACGCATAGACACACAGACACATAAACCCACTCACGCAAACACTTAAGCACACACACGCACACACACACACACACACACACACACACACACACACACACACACACACATGAATACAAATACCTATGTATGAAGAAACCCATATGCCCAAATGCACGCGCACACACACACACACCAGTTCACACACACGTGCACACAAACGAACGCACACACGCAAGCACACACTCTTATACGAGACCAACAATATAAACGTAAATATGTGCCTCTGCAAAACAGTGCGGCAGGCGTTTACATGTTTGCGTGTGTGTGAAGGCCCGTGCGTGCACGTGTGAGCGTGTATCCGCATAGCTGTAAGCAGTTTTTCCAGATTGATCTGAACGACGCGAAAGGCAATTAGAATTATCACACTCCCACCCCCATCAACGGAGAACTCTGTGTAAAAGTGAATGTAAATGCTTATTGTGACGTAGCGTAAAGAAAATGGGCAGCCTATTTTTCCATAGAACTACGCTGCGATGGTGCGCATATCGCTTGCTGGTCGTCATTCCTTTGCGTTGAGAAACGTTTTAAAAAACGCAGAATAAAATATATACGGAGAATATAATATAAATATGCTAAACTTACGATACGATGCAATGTACCGTAGCATCATTTAATCAATAATAACCAACCACTCCTAGTTCAGATTCAGACAAGTGTGCGCTTGGGAGGTTGTTGCTTGACCAGTTGCTAGGTGGGATGGGTAGGCCGTTCAAGCAGGGCTTTTCTCGAGTACAACTGACCACACAATCATTGGTCTTTGAGGATTACATTTCAAATTTCAACCTCTTAACTCTAGCCGTTGAAGACTTACATTCAAGCGTAACGTGTTCAATGGTTTAATAGAAGAAACGACAGGTAACTTAATGATGAAAATATGCAAGACAAAGGCGACTAAAAAACTAAGAGACAATTATTAACGATAGCAATTAATAAAATGAAAGATTTTTCGTAAAATATACTAAACTTTCAATTAAAGTTTAGTTAAATTTTCAATTCAATCCGTAACTCCTCAACAAAGCCACAAGTTTACAATTGTGAAAAAACCATTGAAAAACATTTGAATTTGAACAAATAAATTTTAGATTAAACCGATAAACATCTAGTTTTAAATAAACCAATATTATAGTGCGACACCTTACAACCAAGGTATGGTGATCCGATGTAATCTTATCATATTTTGTATCTTCAGGGCTTAGCCGTTTCTTTGAATTAAGCCGAAAGATAAAAAATAGGATAAGATAACACCGAGGTCACCATCTCTTCCTTCGTATCGTACAACAAAAACTGACATAGCGCTACATAAACATTTCTAACCAGCTAAACATGTAACAGAAGACGTATTTCTCTTGGAAAAAGTTATCGGGCAAAAAAAGAAAATTTGATTTTGAATCATTCATCGCGGATCGTTTGAATGTGGATGACAACAACAAAACAGCAATCGAAAGATAATTCCAGGGCAAATTTTATATTCAATTAACTATAAATCAAATATTAGTATTTAAGCAATTAGTTAAATGTATTAAATAAAAAAATTAATTAATTAAATGTAATTAATTTACGACGTAATTATGAGTTGTTAATAATGTTTATGAATTAAAATATAGATGAAGATGCGATCTATTTAAAAACTATTATCATCTAACTAAACATAGTACAAGGTACGTATGCTTAAAGTACAGTGAACACTACATACGTAGTACAATAAATACACACAGAGTGTACGTACATATGCTACATAGTACAGCGAACATACATAAATTAAATATACATACAATTACTACTATAGAAGCTACAATCACAATTATAAGCCACATAGAATTTTGAAAACAGAGAATTTACTGTAAGTGTGTGAGTGTTTACTGTGTCATGTGTATTGTACAGTGTGTTGGTGTGTGTGCGTCGTCAATTCACCAGTACTGTTTTGTACTGAGAGTGTATTCTAAAATACTTCCCCTACTTTCGATTCGATTGTTTGTTAATTTTTTACTATTATTTTCACTGGAGACTCAAATCTTTTTTCCGTGATCAATAAGAGCAGTTCAAATAAAATTAAAATAATCATTGAGCCAGTGCATTAGCATTATAAATTAATTTATGTTATAATTAAGCTAAAAATAAATAAAAAATTATTAAAAAATAGATCGAAAATGGCAGAAAAATAAATAATAATTAATTCTCAGTAACAATCAATTCCAGTTTATACAATGTACTCGCGGCTAAACCGTTAAGCAATGAGACTTAATTAAACAAACACTCACACACACATCACACACATAAATACACAAATAATCACATATAAACACACACACATACTCATTCTCACATACGCAAATACTAATTATTTATCTATATTTAAATAAACATTTCATGGCATTATATACAACAGATTGGTTATTGGTAAACTGAGCAGAGAACGTTGTTAATGATTAAATTGAAATATCTGTTGGAAGAATTGAACTGTAAATAAATTTATGAGTATGTAAGTAAGATGGAACATGATGGCTAGATAGTATAAAATACCATAAATTATTGCAACACATATGAAGCACTCAAACCTTCTTCGTTGAAAATGTTTTTAAATGTTTTAGGAAAAAAAACATTCTTTCAGACAGATATCATCTTCTAAAATCACGCTAAATGGAAAATGAGCTTCACTCGTATGAATGAATTTTGAAAAATTAAACTAATTATCAAAATATTTTGAAATAATCAAATAGAGAAAAGTCAATCATTTAGCGTGAATCAGGATGAAATAATCCTAAGAAGCATAATGAAAAATATCAAAAATAGAAGCAGATGAAACTTCAAATCCGCATTCAGACGATTTCATGTTTCATACTAATTAAAAAACATCCATCTACATTTATGGTTTAATATAATTATATAAATTATAATTATTATTATTATTATAGGTAAATTATAGGTAATTATAGTAAATATTAAATTTATTTTTTAAAGAGTAATGAAATTGCACTAAAGTTAATACGGCAAATGAGTGCGAAAATTCGATTTTAACACAACCATATTGCCTATTATGAGCTGAAATATTAGAAGCAAGCGGAATAAATATAAACACATATCGATACATGAACTTTAAGCGATAATTAAATAAATTTCAGATGTCATTTATAACAAAGTTATTCACAAACGTAAAACCAAACTTCTTATATACACTGAAAACCTCATTTAAGGTTATTTTATTCAAAATTTATGGATATAAATAATTTCTATTTACTAATTAACACAAAATTGTAATAGTTATAGCCCTCCACAGGCTTAACAATAATTAAATTTTCAAGTAATTAAAAATATAACCTAGATTAAGGTGATAAAATTGAAAAATCTTGTACGTGAGATTGCTTGAGATTAGATCGGGAAGTGCCAAAATGATATCAACATAATGTTGTAAAGTGAATAAACACATTTCACAAAGCGTTTAATATTTACCTAGTAACATTAAAATGCGAATAACAGTAAATGTCATAGATAAATACAGCTCTCTATATGAAAATATACACCGCAAGACAAACGATGAACTCGTTGTACGTGCAACCATTGGCTATTTCTTTTTGAAGTGAAAAGAACCAAGGGTAGAACTGAAAAATATGAAAGTGAAATGAAGGAAACTGAGAAAAATTAAGATGTCGGCAAACCAATAGTAAGTTAATCTGCTTTAGAAACGTAAATGTTTGATATTTGAAAAAAATTTTTTAACCGAACTAAGCAAGTCATGAAAACGTAAAAGTTTATAAAAAAGGCAACTAATTATGAAATAGCATTAAAATTGTCATTTTCCAGTAAACACACACGCGTGCAAAATTACGTTCTCCAAATCCAGCTGGCTACAGACACACCGATATCCAGCAACTACCAGAATGGTAAAATCAGTCCTAAAGAAAAATGCCGAAAACCCAAGCAGATGGCACACTTTTCAATGCTAATATGGAAATTTTGATATCATTTGCATATTACACCATCATTTTATCCGGATACTTCGATATCCTTTGTATATCATTTTTATCTGGATACTTACAACCATATTTTAGGGAGGTTTTTAAACTTAAAAGATAAACGGCAAATAAATGGATTGAAAACCTATTTTATTTATTAACATAATTCAAATATTCCAAACTTAAAAATGAAAAAAAAAATGTTTCCGATAAATTAAAAACATGATAAAAAATTTCTTAAAAAACTTTTTAAAAAAACATGATTAATATTGATGGGAGAAATGATCGATACTGTAACCAAATGCAATACAAAGGTCTCAACAAATTCAAACTGGAACAAAGGAAAATTTATAAAAATAAATTAACTAAACAGCTTACAAACATCCAATGGTAAATAAATTCATTTGAGTGATTCAATGAATGATTGAGTAAATGAATGAATGAATGAACGAATAAAATTGAGTTAGCAGGGACAGGACGAGGTCTGGCTTGTGTGTAGCGCTATCGACGGTTGCTTCGGCGTCAATTCAACTGGCGGCGATGGAGAAGGAGATAACAGCAGAGTTAAGGAAACATCCCAAAATACAACTACTATTAACTTTAAATTAAAATACGCGCCAATGGAAGAAGATTAATAACAAAATTTTTTTTAATCCATTTTATTCACAAATAGAATGGATTAAAATAAAAGAATTATATTTTTCATCTTTTTTTGAAGCTCAAAATGTGATCCAACAATCTGAACTGACCTAACATTATGAGGTCACGAGTTTACCTTTTCTCAGCCTTTGAAGAATTTAAAAAAGCTTAATTGTTATATTTTAACGCATACCGTACGTATGTATAACAATTAAGTTGTTATATATATAAACTAAATAAGTTGTTAATGTCAAATTAAAAAAAAGGGAATTTTAAGTTTTAAATGAATTTATTAACATGCAAAGACAACCAAGACAATACGTCCATCAGTACAAATGTATTAGAAATCTACTATTAAATTAATTCAAAATTGAACCAAAGACAGTAAAAAGAACAAAATAGGAAAAGTACACGGCCATCATAGTGACGTTTGTGTTTAAGTTTAGGCTAAACATCCACTTAAAACATGTACAGCAAATAAATTCTAAACCAAAGTTGTCTAATAAATGATTTAAATGTCCCATAAATTTAAAAAAGATAAAAAATCGATCAAACAATTCATGAAAAACTAACAATAAAGTAACGTTTTATCGCTCGAGCGTTATATATACAGATAACAAAACGTGCAAACAATTATATTGATCTCATTCTAACAGACACATAGAAACAAATACATATATGTCTATATTCAATTATAATTTTACATTTAAAATCACACACACACACACAAGACACAAGCACCACATCGTTACTAAATTGTGATTAATAAAAATAACGATAATTTAATCAATAACTTATATTCTATAATTATTAAACAGAAATAAAAACGTCCCGATATGTATAAGGTGCAACACCAATAACAATCACTTTCTGGCTGCATTTGTAAGACTCACTAAAAGACGGCGAACAAAAACGCTATAGTGTTATTCATGACATCACATAGAGCCAAGAGAGGAATGATCACCACAACGTTATCTATATCTATCTTTATTACAAATTATATCCTTTAAACAAAGGATAGAGTCAGGAAGGTACAAACCAAGATAGAAAATACAGAGGTTATTAGGCCTTGCCTAGAGCGCTTCTGAAGTAGGCGACAGTGAGGCTCTGTACAGTGAGGCTCAATGCAATGTTTATCGCGGTTCTACACTGTTCTATAAATATTACAATTAGAAAGAACTTCCAATAACAAAACACAGGTTTAACTCAACGAACAAGACGTCCCTCATAAATATAAAATCTTGTCCACAGATTTTAAATAACGCCTAAAAACCAAATTTCTATCTTAACTAGGAAACTTACAAGTTTAATTTTTTAAATGAAGTGACAGATAAGCAAACAGTGATACGCAGGCTAAAATAGAAGCCTAATACCGATGACGACATGAAGAATGTCACTGAAACACTCAGGTGTATAAACACACATCATACGCCTAAGATCCCAACCCGCAGCCGAGCGTATAAAAAACAATTGAGCTACATTTTTGACTGAAAGACTTAGTTCTCCTGTCTCAAATTCATTCTCAGTTTTGAAATCCGTCACAGTGATCGGTATAGAGGGGATTGAACGATAATTCACAGGTGAATGGCGGTCACCATCATCATCCTTATTACCACCACCATCTTTAAATAGTGCAAACATTATGTAATACATTTATGTTGTCAAAATGTATGCAAATGAGTTGCATTTCAACCTTTTTCTTCATTTATTAGAGCTATCTTCAATTTCAAATAACCATAGTCATACAATGAACGTACAAACTTCATCCAGACTCAACTTAATCATTCATGTTAGTAATGGTTTCTCTCTCTCTCTCTCTCTCTCTCCACAAACAAATCTGTGTATTCATCATCCAAAAATTACCCATTTAAGCATCAAACCATAATGTAATTAATAACACCTGAGCAACAATTTACTAAAATAATGTAATTATGTAATGTAATTAACGATTATGCCGTCTTTGATGTGATTGTCTGTATAAGTTAGGTGGGATAGTATCATAGTATCACAGCATCATAGTATCTCAACCAGAAACATCGGTTAATAATAATAATATTAATGTTATTATTATTACTATTATTTGTTTCAATTAACACACGTTCATTCTACACCAGCATACAATATAGCAAAATGAAACCAATTCTTGTTAACATTGCAGAGAAGTAAAATAATTTAAATGTTCTTCATTCAAGTTCAAGAAATTGGAAATTTGAATGTATAGCAAACAAACAAACGAACGAACGAACAAACAGGCAAACGAACAAACAAGCAAACGAACAACGAATGAAAAACAAAAGAAAAACATAGAAATGTCGAACATCCATGAGTAAAAATAACAAACGCATGATGAAACAAACGTATGAAAATAATACATGTTCATTTATTTTGATTTCAATTTCTCAACAGAATGTTACAGAACAGGAAAAAGATGCAAGAAACAACGAGAGCAACATCAAATGACATCAACAAAACAACAACAGTTAAACAAGCCGAACATGCAACACAAACATTAACAGAACTACGTATGCAACATTAAAATAGACATTTATAAAATAAAAACCGATAAAACTAAGGAGGAAAATATACAATCCAATCATTAGCAGCATTAACAAAAGCAAGAGCTTTTTTGTGGCTGTGGCTCTGCTGCCGTATCTTTGAGGACGATCTCTGACACTGTGGTCGTTTCAGTAGTTGTGGTTGTAGTAGTTGTGGTTGTCGCAGATGTAGTAGTAGTAGCAGTAGCGGCACAGTGCAGTGCAGCAGCAGTAGTAGTTTTGCAGTGAGTTTAGTAGTGTTAAGGATCATAACATGCAATAGTGTTAAATTTTTAAAACTACATTCTACACACTGATGGTATCTATCTAGTCAGAAAATTACATTTTGTTAACAAAAAATGTCAAGACATTAAATACCTATGCCTAAGATGTGATTGGAAACTCATCACAACAGTTTAACACTACACATATATCAATATCAGATATATATATATATATATATATATATATATATATATATATTTTTACAATATTCTATAAATTCTACCGAATGTTAGGCGTTAATATGTTTGTAGTTCGTTTTTTCGATTTTTCTCAAGTTTTTGGTGAACGTTTAGTTTATTAAAATTCAAAATAAATTTGTTTATCTCATTTATATATATATATAATTATTTATAAAGATCACTGCGTTTTCGGCATTATTCAACTTGTAGTTGAGTTAACAAGTTGAACTATATATATATATATATATATATATATATATATATATAAGATATCAATAGAGATATATAGATATTAACATGGATATCATATGGATGGAGATGTCATTAAAATATTAATTTGGATATCATATAGATAGATAGGGACATATGGATATGGATATGATATGGATACATCGCAGAATGTTTTTCTTCACTTGAAACCAAACGTTGATTGATATTGATTGAGTAGATGGATGGAGTGAGAGAGAATGAGAAAAAGGAAAGATGAATGAGTACTAAGAAAATAAAAAGCAATATGTAATACGTAGATAAAAAAATAATTAGCCTAGATAAGAATATTGTTGGCAATTGTTAGAAATAAAATAAACATGTATTTTAATAAATTTAAATTATTTTAAAAAACTATTCATCAAAATTTTAATTTTTTCTGAAAGAAGTCAAATAGAATTTTTTAAAAATAAGAAGACAAATAATATTAATAAAAAAAGGCAGAACATGCATTATAATCGAACAGACAACACTAAAATTTTACAACAACGTTAAAGAACTATCATGCCCCCCCTTTAAAATGAGAAACTTGTGTTAAGAAATAAAAATAAATTAAGTAATTTGTCAAACATTTATGAAGACAGTCAAATTAATTTTACTAAATTAATTCTAAAAAATAATAATTTTTTTAATATTTTTTAAAACTATTAAATATCTAAAAATTGTAGTATTTAAAACTTCCTAACTTTCAAAAGATGAAAGATTTATTTGGAGAAAAATATGTTATCATTATCTTCAAATTTATCTGGTTTAGATTTATCATACATCAACATCATATTTGCATTAACTATATATATTTGATGTTGTTATAAATCCTTTAGAAAGACCTAGATTCTAAAGTAACGTTGAATGGCTAATTATTTCTATAGCAAAAACACTTCAAAAATTGTAAATTTAAAAAAAAAACTTTTCTAATTTTAATGTGAAGAGTTAGAATTTCTCACTTATTTGAATAAATTTTTTACATTATGTTCTGTCTTGAGGTCTCATATATGTAAGATTCTTTCATATTAATCCGCATTTTTTATTTTTTTGTTTTTACGTTCAACTTCTGACAAATTGAGTAATAACATTTAGGTTCACCAAACAACCACCCGAGCTATTATTGAAGCAAAACTTATAAAACGATCACGTAAAGTAACAACTTCCTAATTTTTACATAAATGTCGATTTAAACTAAATTTGCGAAAATGTAACTTGATTGTAACTTGATGCACACACGCTAACCTGTTAAACACCTTCAACTAGCAGAGTTTAGTAGCGTGGAAATGGAGAAAATACAAAAATTATGAAAACTACAATCCCCACTATTACTACCACAATTACCACTACAGCCACTACTACAATTACTACTAACTGCTAATAACATGCCCTGACCATAGAGTTAAAAAAAACCATGTTACCATGTTACGCAGAGCCAAGCAAAGAAAATTTTGCCGCTTGCACATGTAGTTTCATAAATTTTAAAATATCTCAATGAATGGCCTAAGGATATCAGTCAGACTCAAGTACACTTAAGTAAACACACTGACACACACACCGACACGCACACACACACATACGTTCACACACACACATGCAAGCATAACAAACCATACACACACAAATGCAAATAAACACAAACTCAGACATAAACTTACATACAACAAACCTGGAAGCAAAATATTGCACTGGTGCAGTAATTATACACTACAATCTCTTCAAAATAGTACCAATTTTCAAGAGATAAAAGAATGAAAAAGTGATCATAAACCATAAATGACTGAACAATTCTAACAATATATATATATATATATATATGTGTGTGTGTGTGTGTGTGTGTGTGTGTGAATGACACACAAAAAAGATACTATCTTTCTGTTTCGGTTCCATCTGATCCATACCAGGCAAAGATGATGCCACACGTCGAAATAACTATGTGTGCAAGTGTTTGTGTGTGTGTGTAGGTCTTATAGTTTTCATTAACAAAACATCCTTAATTACTGATGATAATTGCATAATTATGTATATTATATAATTACTGTTGTCTACCTGTGTAAGAAATAATAAATGTGTGTGTGTGTGTGTGCGTGTGTGAGATAACATATCTGTGTTTGTTGTTAATTGGGCTATGTATGTGTGTGTATATTTGTGTTTTTGATAAGATAATGGACTAAAAACCTGTGATTTCCTAAGAAACTACATACAAACTACATAGACATATATCGTGTAGTTAATATATAATATATATAGTTCAATACCTATGAAAACAAATTTCCTTGCTATTTAGAATAAGCTGATGAGAATGGTGTGATTAATAACAATGACAACAAAACTCAATCAACCATTTACAAAAAATACCAGATCTACCAAGCAGCCAATCAACCAGCCAACCAATCAATCAATCAATCAATCAATCAATCAATCAATCAATCAATCAACCAATTTTCAATCAATCAACCAATCAATCAACCAATTTTCAATCAAACAACAAACAAACAACCCCATCAGCAAACCAACCAACCTGTTTAACATTGTAACCTGCCTTGGCACTTGTTTCTATGAACATGACATTCAGTTCCTTTGCTTTTTTCTCTCCTTCTTCTGTCGTCACTTGTCTGTTTATTCATTCATTTATTTAATGGTTTCGTCATTCGTTCATTCCTTTGGTGGTTTCATCCTTCATTCATTAATTCATTCATTCATTTGGTGCTTTCATCACTCATTCAATCATTCATTTGCCCATTTAATCATTGTTAATATTATCACATAAAAAAAATCATCAAATAGATATAAATAATATAAGCTAAGTATACAAAGATACTCGTTTTGTAATCATCTAATTGAAATAGCTTCAGATGAAAGACATGAAAAAATACTGCTAACAATACAAAATAACACAGAGGATTAATGGCTGCATCATAACATGGCTGCATCACCAACCTCTTATCAGAGAGATCAGTTTTGTTGCCGACGAGCATGATGAGTACGTCGCTGCCTCGTTCCGTCCTTACATCATCAATCCACTTCGATGTCTGGTAAAATGAATTTGCATCTGTGGGGAAATGGCATCAAATATGCCAGAGTTGGTGCAATTAGATGCTCTGTTAGATGATAAATGGCTTCAAAGTAAGAATAAAATGATCCAAAAGAATTAGTTTTTCTTGAATAATTTGTGAAATGCTGATTTGAACTCAAAAAAGTATTATAAAACAAGGGTGTATTAAGCATTTATGTAATGTAAGTCAAGAACTCCATTAGCCACAAAACAACTTCTAAACTAGAAACTTAATTCTAAATGTGAGATTTATAAGCAGCTAAATAACAAAATGTATGACCAATCCAACTAAAAAAAATAGTATTCATCATTTTAATAATTATTGTTTAGTAAATACTGACTGGATATATCATAGACAACTACAGCGACTGATGAATCTCTGATGTAAGATGGAATTAAACTACGAAATCTTTCCTGGCCAGCTGTGTCCCACAATTGTAGCCGAATCTGAAAATAAAAGAGACCATCAATTTCAACCACACCTGCTCAGCTAACAACTACCTATTAACATTATTAATAGCTGATTAATCAATAGCAACAAAATAAGATTAATGTTTCAAATAAAAAATGTAATGTGAGAATTTTGTGGAGAGTCATAAACTTAACTTACAGTTCTATCTTCCAGATACATGGTTTTTGATAGGAAATCTATACCAATTGTTGCCTGAAGTAAAAAATTTAACTTTAATTTAATTAAATATTTAATAAACCAATTTATTTGTAAAAATTAATAAAGTTATTGATCAGTTGAGATTGTTAAAAATCATAATAAATTTAATGGTAAAACGGGAGATAGGTACTCCTATGGTATCGTCCATGTTTACAAACAATCATAATGTACTTTTAATAAATTAACTCTGCCCATTTTGAATTATTTAGCGCTTGATTATTTATTTATATCAAATTTAAAATAATTTAATTAGGTAAGTTTTTTAGATCATTACTTGTCAAATAGTTGAAATAGTGAACATTAAATAAAAAGAAGTTAAAATATGAGTAAATTTCTGTTTTGATAACAATCAATGGCTTATGGAGTGATTAACAGAATTAGGGGTTAACAAATTTTCAATCATTTCACAAATATGGAGTGGTTAAAATTTTCAATCATTTGTGAAATGATTGAAAATTTTGTTTAAAATGGAAGCCCTAACCCTAACCCTGTTAACCAGTCCATAAGCCATTGATATTTGACAAGTAATGATCTAAAAAACTTACCTAAAAATTAACTTACATTAAATTACTTACCTAAGAATTAACTTGTATTAAATTATTTTCAATTTGGTCAAGCAAATAAATAAATAAATAGTGCGGTAAATAGTCAAGCAATAGACAATTCAAAATGGGTGGAGTTAATTTATTAAAAGTACATTATGATTGTTTGTAAACATGAAGGATACCATAGGAGTACCTATCTCACGTTTTACCAAATTTAATTAGTTCAATTCAATATTCAACACAACTTATAAATAAAATCATTAAAAAAAACTTTTGATTTAATAGTAAAACAATTAGATGAATCTAAAAATTTACAGACAAACTCAAATATCAAAAACTCTTAATCCAAGCATGTGTAAGAAAGAAAAAAGACTACTAGAAAATTAAATTAATTGCCTGGTAAGTGTTGTCGAAGCTATCATACATGAACCTTGTGATAATGGATGTTTTACCGACTGAAAATAAGAACATTTAAAACATTAGAAAAAACAAAATGGATAAAATTAATTAAATTATTTTTGAGCATGATTAAGAATTTTTTAAAATGTCTCATTCATTTTTTTTTGGCGATCTCCAACAAACACAAAAAACTCACCGCTCTGCTCTCCTAAAAACACCAATTTGAATTTTCTGAGCGGATTGCTTAACTCGTTCATATTTAATAAATAATTTAATAAATAATTAAATGTTTAAATTCGGTTAAAATAATTGAATAAATTGAAAAATCTTCGTGACGTGGAGAATTTTAGGTTGTTTTAAAGAGACTAAATAAGAAAAGGTGTCTGAAATGTTCGCCTGCTTGACCAGTTCGGTCTCAGACGGTGCTTATCATATAGATATAATATATATATATAAACGTATACATATATATACATATATGCATATTATATATATATATACATATATATATATATATATATATTGAATAAAATAATGAAACGGTTATTATTTGGTTTGAGTTCAACGCTATTATAACAAAAAGTTATTATGTTTATCTATTATTTGCTGTTTTTAGTCATTATTTTTATCTATTATTTGCTGTTTTTATTTCCTGAGATTTAATTTTTTTCCTCTTCACGCAGTTATAATACATTTGTATAATTTTTAGAGTTCTAGTTACTTCGTTTTCAAAAAACTGCTAAAATTTTAAATACAAATTCAAGTATTAAACTAGACAACAAAAATTAGATTTTGCCATGGATTTTGCAGTCAAATTAACCTCGTTTTAAGGATTTTAACATATAATTAGAATAAATATAACGGCCTTCGCTCATTTTTGACGATCGAACAAGGAGCTTACTTCCGGAGGGAAATTGGAGGGGGGTTTTTTATCGCCCAAGTCAAAAGTTACGATCGTATTTTTACTAATTTCGGAATATTGCTTTTATTTAAAATTTCAAAATGTTTTAAAAGGTGATACTAGTTGATGTTTTAGGATGGATATTGCTGTATGACGGTTAAGTATCTTTGGTAATCTCGGAGACGGCAAAGTGGTTTTTCCAGCAATATTTATTTATAGTCAACAGTTTAAAGAGACTCATAAGTTCCTCCCACGGTACAACTAAAAGTTAAACTAAATAATAAAAGCTTATAATAAAAGTTAAAAATAAAAATTTTAAACCAATTTTTACTAGAAAAACCACAAAACATCTATAAAGTTATAAAAATATGATACATTACAAAATGTGTAACAAAATTTTAAACGTACTGTTAAAAAGATAGTTTCACTTTTAAAACAAATTATTAATTTTTAGAAACTTGCTTCCAGAGGTAACTTGCCGTTGAAAAAAATTTTCAATGTTAAAACGCTGGTAGGGCGCTTCCAGTTATATAATTCCATGATTTTTACTTCATAATCGGCGGATAGATTATTTAGTTTAAGAAATTGAACTATAACATTATGTTGTATAAATTATTCTTTTCTTCGTTAAACGTTTTTCATTCATGTTTTTCAATTTTAAAGTCATTAACATTTAAAAATTAAAATTCTTCAAAAAACCGCTTATTTTTTTCAATTTTTACTTCATAACCGGCGGGTAGATCTATTTAGTTTTAGAAATTGAACTATAACATTTCTCAACGGGTACAAAGCAAGGGGAGGCCTATTTACCAGCATACAACACCTTCTTATGGGTTGAAGCAGAGATATGCAAAGAACCTCAATTTTTTCAACTTTTAATTATTTTCAGTAATATCTCCCCTTGCTCCAAACCACATAACTAGAATAATAGGACTAATCGATCAATTCGATCTATCGGTCGGGCTATTGTC